ATTGTTACATATTTTTTATTTTATATATAATAAATGGTGATACAGTGTATTCGTGTGCCTGCGTGTAATATATATTTAGTATTCCATTCATCATCAAATTTGTGTTAAATTGGGACACATTCAAATGTATATGAAGTGAAAATGAGAGCTTGTGATGGACTGCTGCATCATTACTGAAATATGCTCCCAGACGCAATGAATGCTGTGTAATTTATTTTTCATATTCCATTTGCAGTGTGATGCTGATAGTGCCATCTGTTGGTGAAAATCCTAACTAAAATTTGTTCTTATGCCAAAACCTATCCGTCTCTCTCCCGGGTGTCTTTGAGTGCAAATTGCATTTTAATACATCGGACCCATCAGCGATCGAGCGGTAAAAAACTGAACACTAGTTTTCGGTCTGTGTTTCGAATCCCGGCAAACGGGCTGGCTGCATGGCCATTTTCATGGTTTTACCCATACGTAATGTGTATATAAGCCAATTTCCCTTAAAAGTCCAAGCCCACCAGCGGCCGAGCTGTAAATTTGCTGAACACTGGTAGTTCGGTCCGAGGTTCGAATCCCGCGAACGGGCTGGCTGCATGGGTGTTTTCGTGGTTTTCCCCATGTGTGACGTGTATACGAGCCAATTTTCCTTAGAAAGTCCTCCACAAAGGCATCCCTTCCCTTAGGCAGATAGCCCTACTAGTGTGCTTTGCCATAATTAAATACACGAAACCCTTAAAAGTCCTCTACAAAGGCATCCCTTCTGATTGGTAGAGAGCCCTCGAGTACTTTACCGCAATCAAATCCAATGCAGCGATTTGTTCATTTTATATATATATATTTTTAAAAGCGTTAAAATTTACTGGTCACCCTATATGTAAGTTAAGTACGAATCATTAAGTAATAGAATGCCTTCAAAATGTGCTACGTCTTGTGCCGCAAAATTACTTAAATCGCTTCTGTTAAATGGTAGTGCTGTGTGGTATGCAACTGAGTGAATATATTTAAAATATTCCTGCATATAATGCGAACGGAAGACATTATTTTCAAGAGCTGCAATTAAAGAAAAGGAAATTGTAATTGGTAATCAAGAGCTAATCCAGATGAAAGATTAATAGTAACATTCTTTATAATATTCTTAACGAGATTGCTACAAATAACTGAACGCTGAACTATAATCGAAATCTGTTGAATTGTCGTAAATTCATAGACCGTTTAAAATTGATTCTTTGATTTCATAATGCCGAAAGTTTTAATAAGCTTAGCTTTTACTTAACTTTATTTTTTAGCAAAGATCGTTTTTGAAGGTCAGGTTTACATATGTATTTACTTCTTGACATTGAAGCAAACTTTTATTATAGCTTTTGCTATTATAATTGTTTTACACTTTTGCTGTCTAATGATTAGGTCTGATTAATGAAGTGGTCGAAAGTCGATTAACTAGTGCTTCGAAGAATGGATTATCTTGTCGTTTATCGTGATAGTTAGTAAACGTATTTCAAATGAAAACTGTATTCTAGAGAACCATAGCCTTATTTTGTCTCTTTTCTAGAATTTAATTTTATGTGCTCACTGTAATATAAAGCATACTAAAACTATTCTTGTCATGTTTTAATCATTTGTTATTGCATATCATTATTGTAAAGTATTCGTTTCTGATCGAAAATATAACAGAGTAATATTAATATATTTATCTTAATACGAGGCAGTTGTTCTCAATAAAAGAAATCGCTGTTGTGATCTGATGAAATATGGAGTTTTTACAATTAATAACCCGTAACATTTTCGCAGTGCTTGGATACTCTACCAAGGCTTCAGAATACTTCAGAATGGTAAGATAATCTGTATAATTTACAATACTTCAAATATTGCTGCTGTTTTAATTTGCTGCATTATCTTATATTGAAAATATGTTTTTTGTTATTCTAGTTGTGTGTGCACATTTAATGCGTGTAATAGAGTATAGTTGAACAAATTATAATAGTTAACAAAAAATAAACTTACTTAAATTTTAAAACTCTACGTAATTAATGTGTGTACTTTTTGTATGTGTAGATACAACTTAGATGAGCGAACTGTAATAGTTAATAATACAGTGGACGCTCGTTAATTCGAACTCAAAGATTCTCAGAAAAAGAGTTCGAATTATCCGAGATTAATAGAAAATATAACTTTAAAAGTGTGTTATACTGAAGAAGAAAATATACTAGTATGTATAACTTAAGAAAATATATTATACTATGTATCTAAAATTAAACATATCAAAAAACAATAAAGACTTACCTTAATCGTAAAATGAAGCGGAAGATATGCAGTAGAAAGTAAACTTTAATTAAAAATATGAATTACGCTTTTGAGAAAAACTATAAAATGGATCTTTGGTTTTGTTTTTCTGTCTACATTTTTCAGCCAACTTTCTCGACTTGAAGTAAACATTTCAATTCCTTTTCAAAGGAAAGTTCAATCTTAATAAATGCTGTCAGAGTTTTTATAAGCCCACCAGCGGCCGAGCGGTAAAGTCGTTGAACGCTGGTAGTTCGGTTCGAGGTTCGAATCCCGCGAACGGGCTGGCTGCATGGGCGTTTTCGTGGTTTTCCCCATGTGTAACGTGTATACGAGCCAGTTTCCCTTAGAAAGTCCTCCACGAAGGCATCCCTTCCTTAAGGCAGATAGCCCTCGAGTGCTTTGCCGTAATCTAATAAAACCAAACCAAAACCAAACCAGAGTTTTTATAAAGCCCATTATAGATTAGAACGCTTAACAGTCAGCCTCTGTGTTCTCTTCCGAAATCGATAAGGTCTCTTCTTTTTCATCTCAGATGGTTTTAGGCTCTAGTGTAGAATTGGGTGCCCCTTCGATTAGCGACATTTTTTTTTTTTTTTTTAAATTTTGGCTATGAAACCTCACTTCTGGTTACCATGATAGTTTTAACGTTGTTATAGCTTCCTGATTTTATTTAAATGAAATTAGATTAATGTGTACATGGACAAATTTAAGGCAGTGCGCAATGCCTAGTTTGTGCAATTCTAGGATGTTTTTTTCAGATCGATGTGTACATGGACACACAGTTTGTACAAATTCTTTGACTTCTTATTTTGGTTTTGAGTAGTGGCCATCTTGAAATTGTGCCTTCCTGGCGCCGATCTTAGCGTCAAAAAAGAATCGCCAAAACCAAGGGGCACCCAATTGTAAACTTTTACGGGTTTTTATTATGTCATCGTCGTTCAGTTTTCCACAGACTTTCAAGTCTTCATCTACCTTAACATAATCAGAAAAAGTAACGTTATCACATTTAAATATTTTGAATTCAGGAAAAGCTGTATCGATGTCATCACATTCTTCGATATGGTTCTTTTCGGCGTGCATGAATTTAGCATGACGAAAGCAGTTAACTAATTGCGCTTTCTTTAACAGCATCCAATGCGGCTTATAGATAATTTATAGCTAGTTGTCAGCAGAGTAATGTCGTAGTTTTCACCACATTCTGAAGAAGAAATTATTATAAAAAAGTCTCTAACGATAATTAGTGCAAAGGGGCTTTGTCCCTGAAGGACTAATGTTTTCGTTTTCCGATTTTGCGTTGAAAACTTTAAAAGTCTGTATCACTTTTCAAATCGTTTCCACCAAATATTATTGCCCTGTATTATATTTGAAGAAATAAAATAATCAAGAATCTGTATAAATGTATATATGTTTCTCGCATTGTGATAAAACAACGGTACCTAGAGCCCATCCAATTTTGAATGACGTAATCCTACTGCCAATATGGGCATCTGAAAGCCCAAATTTGAAATTTAGAATTTGTTTTATTATCGATTTCATATTTTGTAAAACTTTGACGAATTTTTGATAAACAAAATCAACGATTTAAAAGCGAGCAATGGCAACATTCTACCGGGGGGGGACCTTTTTATCTCCAGCGCGCGGAACTGTGTATCGGAAATTCTACAGATGTGCTGGTTTTAAAATTATTTTGTGACATTGCTGTTGAACTAAATTTTATGGTTTAAGTGCAAAGAACATGATATTTAATAAATAAGGGTAACACACAAAACGTTAAAAAAAGGATCCTTTAGACGTAATTTAAAATCTGAAACCTTTCAGTTTTTTTTTTTTTTTTTTTTTTTTTTTTTTAAAGATTTTGGATAATTCCTGGATCCATTAGTTGTAGCTTCGCAGTTGTGTTTGGCGATAAAAATTCAACCTGTATGGAATTTAGGCAGATCCAAATATAGCTTATAGCCAGGCCATAAGCTGTTTGATATACCAGGCCCTTTATAAATCTGTTCTAATAGATTTTAATACTCTTTATACTATATTTTAATTTTGGGGGGGGCTAAGCTATAGCTTGTGTAGCTTATACGTAAATCCGGCCCTAAATAAAAAAAAATGAAATTATTGAATCTGTTGAAAGTTACCGAACGATTTTATTAAAATAAAGAAAAAAAGAGAGCGGAATCTACTAAGGCTTTGAACTTAACTCGGGAAGACTTCATGCTCTGGCAGCACTGAGGAATCAACAGCTGATTATATGTATTTAATCTATGAATAATAATCTTTTTTTTTTTTCTGCATTATGCAGTTTTAATCAAATAATCGGTTTCAGTCGTGCTGGATTATTAGATTTTTGCTATATATTGTTATTTGGGGGTTATGCCTTTTCTCTTTAATTTATTTCTGTAATTTGGTAGCTTAGAAAATAGAAAACTTTTGAAGGTGCTGAAATTCATGACCAATTTTTAAATAAATTTCTTCTCTCCTTTCCTTCAGTTTTATTCTTTAAAGCATCATTTTGTGGGCTAATCTCGTATATTCATTCAGCGTTTGTGTCTCAAGGTTTGGATCGGTGGTCACTTATCACTTTGACTTCCGTCTACATTCATTATTAAATTTCGTTGGAGCTTCCGCTTCTGATGGTTGCGGACAGAATTTCCGTCGCTGGCGGTTTACACGAAAACCTCGGTTCATTTTAAGAGTTTATTGGTAGCCTTAGCTTTGTATAAATAGCGCTTGTTCTATAAGATTGGTTTCTCTAAAGTGTTAAAAAATTTCTGCGCGATATATTGTGCAGTTTGAATTGAAGACTGAGTCCATGGGAAGAAAAGAGCTGTCGTCACTGAAGACATCTCTCAGAAATGGAATGGTATGAAATTTTTTTTAAGCATAACCTATAGAGAAATGTGTCTGTAAAGTGTGATAAACGATACTGTTTCAAAATATTTGTACTGAAACTGCCATCAGATTCACAACCTGCTTCATTCTTACCAATTCTTACGTGAAGAGCTTCAAGTTCTTTTCTTTGATAGAAAAATGCGTCAAATAATTTTCTGCCGAAAAATATATGCGCCGACTTGATACTTCCAACGGAAAAAATACTTTCGTCGTCAGCTCTTTTCAACTATTGTAAAATTATTCTAAGCATAAGATATGTAATTTTTAGTTTAGTTATTTTAATATACAAAAAGGCCGCTCAAATGGTATAGTGGTTAGCGTGGCTGACTGCCGAGCCGAAGGGCCGTTCGGCACTGCTGTCAGCGACGCTAACGGCCTTGCCGAACCCGGACGGCACGGAGAAGGCATGTGTATTTGTAAATGTATACGGAAAATTTGCTTCGGTTATTGTTTGAAAAATTTGCCGATTTCTGTAGAGTATCTTTCTATAAAAGGCTTTATCCATTCCTTTATACATTCCTTGATGCATAATGATACTACAGTCAAAAGTCGTTAATTCGGACACCCATAATCCGGAATGATCTATAATCCGTACCTCAAAGCTACAAACTTTCTGAGCATGCGTCGCGTTGACGCATGCGCGTAAGATTTTTACGGCTGCGAATATGCGTGTGCGCATGCGCAAAATACGTTTACAAATGCGCGTTTAATGTAGAACGGACGGTATAAGCTAAGCTAAAATTATCTAATTCAGTTAATGTTGCAGATTGCGTTGTTCCTTAATCTTCGAATTGGATCCGGCTTATTATTTTTTGCAGACTGTTAGAGCAATTTTATAAAAGTAAGCTTAAACTTTCGATAATGTCAAATAGAATTTCTGATATATATACTAATATGTAAAGGATCTACAAAGCGAAAGTATGTTTCGAAGTCCATTAAACAAAAAGTGGAATTGCTGCAAAAAATGGATAAAGGCATATCTTTTGTTTATCTAACCATTCCGAAATCTGTTTATCAATTTCACGCTGCTCGGCGGCGGGGGGGGAACTGTCAGCACTATCCTTATCTTCAGGGCAGATGTTTTTATTTTATTTGATGCTTATAATTCCTTACTAAATGTAGTATAATCTCGATGTACTCCGTCTTTGATATGATTTAAATCAAATTCCTCGTCATTATAATTCGCTTCCGATAGCGAAGAAAGTGACACAGAGGTTATTGATAACGAAAAAATTTCGATTGACAAATTAGTCGATATTCTCGACACAGCAATTATAGGACTTGAACAGCGGAACTTTGTAAGTGAACAAGAAATTATGTCTGTTTATAGAATTAAAGAGAAAGTATTATCACATAAAAAACGAAGCAACCTAAACAACTTACATTGAAAGAAATGTTTAATAAAGTAAACAAATAAATATTAAGCTTTTTTTTTTTTTTTTTTTTTTTGTAAATTTTGATACCCTTTAGATCATAATTGTTCTTTATTTCATAAATTACGGTTTCATATTTTTAATTTTATAATTTCTGCATGTAATATTACCAGATTTAAACTAATGATCTATAATCCGGAAAAATCGATAATCCAGAATCGTCGAAGTCCCGATGAGTCCGGATTAAAGTTACCCCTGATTTGTGAAAAATGAGTTTGCTAGAAAATTGTAATGCTAAAATTTAGTATAAATTTAAACACAAATTTTATGTAATTTTTTTACGAGTTTTTAAAATTTAAAGATTTCTTTCCTATACAGAGCAATGTGAATGATATTTTAGCTCTTCTTTGGATTGTGAAGATTTTGTTGGTTACGCCAAAAAAGAGTACGACTACAAGAGAGTATGATAACACTTAATAATATTGCATTTAATTCAGGCGCATGAACTATGGTGACATGTACAAGAATTGAGGTGCTCCTTGATTTTAAGCGTATTTGTAAATATAAATTCATATTTTTGTCTTTTAAGACAGGATGTACAATAGAAACAATTATTCATCACTTCATTATTGTGCACTGAAATGTTACCTCATCAGAATACACAAACTAATATTTTTCTTATTTTTGAGTAAATTAAAAGTATAAACTAAATAAAAATGTATTTCATTGTTTCTGGGCTAATTTCTAGAATGGTATTCTGCAGCTTTCAGAATTTTATGCAAAGCAAATTTTTAGTTTCGAATATAGTATATATGGCATATAAAAGAGCAGGAATAAAAACTTTTTATTCATAAGTGTTAAATCCTTTTTAACTAGAAATTTTTACCACCCCCTTGTTTAAATTATGTAACATTCTTTGCAATTTTGTGTATTGCTCATATAATATAAAAATTAAATCTTGCAAAAACGTAAAATAAATTCAGTTCATAAAAATTGGTCAAAAGATTAAGTTTATGCTGTTGATTATGAAATTCCAATTCCTGAAATGAATGCTTTTAATTGTTGAGCATATACTTCTAATAAAAGAAATTGTTTCTCAGACTTAACTGCACTTAACTATTTTTTAAAACCATAATTAAGTTTATTTGAACTTTTTTTTAAATTAAAACGGTTCTGAAATTTTTTATAAGGGAAAAAACCACCATCTGTTCCGTAAGTTTTTATGCCCCTGTCCATGTTACAGATCACTTAAAACTTAAGTTAAAAAATTACATTCAAAAATGAAAATGTTATTCATTCTTTTTATTGCAAAAGAAACTTTTGTTGTTATAATGCTTTTAAGTATCCAAAGCTTGTGTCTTTAATTAAAATTAAAGAAAGTCAACTTGTTGGGTAATAGCCATTATAGACGTTGGCCCCTACTTATTATTATTTTTACTACTTACTTTATTATGGAGGCACCTAATGGGTGAGCCGCCGTTGCCTCCTATGAAAGAACAGACAATTTACATCCATGCCGACTCCGGGATTGGAACCCGGGCCTTTCGGTACGGCAGCCCCTTTCCCGAATGGGCGGCGTTTTTCAGAAATTGGATCTGATATTTTCAATAGGATTCTGTTAGTTAATTCTATACAGTTCTGTATAAAAACTATTCTATACAAAATTCTTTATATGGAACCTTTAGAAATTGTACAAATTTCTATAGAATCTCTGCACAAATTTCTATAGGAAAAATAACTACACATAAGAACAGGGGTTCTCAACTAGGGAAGAATTGCCCCGTGGGGGGATTTCATAATTTCATTGGGAAATGCGGGTAGCTTTTTATTTACCTGCTAAGTTAAGTGAATAAAGCGGGCGCAGCCCGCGCAAGAAAGCTGAACAATGGTAGTTCTGTCCAACTTACGAATCCCGTCGAGCAGGCTGGCTGCATGGAAGTTTTCGTGATTTTCCGCATGTGTATCGTGTATGCAGTGTCTTCTGGATGCATATGTGAATAAAGCCGGCGCAGCCCGCTCAAAACTGAATAACACTGTTAGGTCTGTCCAACTTTCGATCCCGGCGTACAGGTTGGCTCCATAGGTGTTTTCTTGATCTTACGCATGTTATCGTTTATGCAGTATCTCCTCCATGCATATGTGAACAAAGCGGGCGCAAACCGCTGAACACTGGGAGTTCGGTCCAACTTTCGTTTCGTGTCTCGGCGAGCGGGCTGCCTGCATGTGCGTTTTCGTGATTTTACGCATACGTGTATGCAGCATCTTCTGGATGCATACGTTAATAATGCGGGAGCAGCCCGCGCAAAGGCGCTGAACACTGGTAGTTCGGACCAAATTTCAAATCCCCATGAGCAGGCTGGCTGCATGGGTGTTTTCGTGATTTTCCGCATGTGTATATTGTATGCAGCATTTTCTGGATGCATAGGTGAAAAAAGCGGGTGCAGTCCGCTGAACACTGGTAGTTCGGTCTAACTTTCGAATACCCGCGAAAGGGCTGGCTGCATGGGTGGTTTCGTGATTTTAGGCATGTGTATCGTGTATGCAGTATATTCTTGTCGTTGAGTACTGGTAGTTCGGTCCAAAGTTCGATCCCGGGGAACGCGCTGTCCAACTTTCGAATAAAGGCCAATAACAGCGGGCTTGCCCGCTAGTTGAAATTAAAGAAAGTCAACTTGTTGGGTAATAACCATTATAGGCGTTGGCCCCTACTTATTATTATTTTTACTACTTATTTTATTATGGAGGCACCTAATGGGTGAGCCGCGGTTGCCTCCTATGAAAGAACAGACAATTTACATCCATGCCGACTCCGGGATTGGAACCCGGCCTTTCGGTACGACAGTCCCTTTCCCGTCTGGGCGGCGTTTTTCAGAAATTGGATCTGATATTTTCAGTAGGATTCTGTTAGTTAATTCTATACAGTTTCTGTATAAAAACTATTCTATACAAGATTCTTTATATGGAACCTTTAGAAATTGTACAAATTTCTATAGAATCTCCGCACAAATTTCTATAGGAAAAATAACTACACATAAGAACAGAGGTTCTCAACTAGGGAAGAATTGCCCCAGGGGGGGGATTTCATAATTTCATTGGGAAATGCGGGTAGCCTTTTATTTACCTGCTAAGTATTTATACTCTTAGTACTTTTATTTACCTCTGAAGTTTTAGTTTATGGATATAAAAAATTACTTTTATTCAAATTTTGGTAATTATGAGCATTTTCGATACTTTCTCTTGTTTGTTTAATAAAACATCTTAAAAATAATCTAAATTTAAATAACGATATATATATTTTTCGAGTTTGGAAAAGGGGGTGATCGTCTAGTTGTAGTGAAAGGGGTTTCATAGAGGAAAAAAGGTTGAGAATCACTACTATAGCATCTTTATGCATAACTATACAGAAGCTATAACTAAAATTTTGTAAAAGATCCCTGACGTAGTTTAGAGAAAATTAGGACATAATTTTAAAGAAATTTGAACATTGGAGATTTTTGTAGAATTTTATGAGACATTACGAAAAGTAAGGGAGGAATTGTGATATCACTTGTATGTAATAAAATCAGCTATGCATATAAAGCGTGTTTAATAAATTACTGTGAATAGATGCACGTGTTTTAATAAATTTCGCAATATTATACTTGAGGGAGGGCAGTTTCTATAAATAACTATGGCGGAGCGATAAACGCTTCTTTATTACCTGTTAGTTACTTTGCCTGCATACTTTCCTATTGATTGGTGACGTTACTGGCACATTTAACGGCGACTTTTACTTAAACCGGCAACCTTTTTAGCGAAATATGTGCCAAAATTGCCATTTCTGTGTCGGTTCGAGACCGTACTGCTCGTATGGTATACACCGAATTTTTCCCGTTTCCTCCTGTTAGCGCACGCTTTCTTTCTTGATGACATTTTATAACACGAATGAAACATCAACGTGTTCCTTCTTTACGCATGGTTGCTTCCTTCATTATTTAGTTCATATAGTATTTTTGATACTGCCACGCTGGAATTAAAAACACTAATAGTTTTTGAATATTTACTATCAAATTGTGAAAACACGCCAAACTAAGTATACATCTGTTTTCTTCAATCTCTGTATAGTAAGTAAACATTGTTACAAACTTGTAGAATTAATTAAACAAGTATTCTTGTGTGAATTCGAAGCGCTAAATGTGCTTACTAGTGAAAAAATACATGGTGTGCGCCTTTGCTTATCACGTGGGTCATTACACTAAATTCGGCTATTACACAGAAACTTAAAAATGTCATTTTTATATGTATAGGGTAAAAAAAAAAAAAAAAAAAAAAAAAAAAGTGTCATGCTAAATGAGTATCCTCATAAACGTTGAATTGGGTGCACTGACATAAAGAACAATTTAAATTGTGCTGAGTATTGAGAAGTGTTGTTTATTTCTAGTAATAAGCATTTTGAAAAATTGCTAAGTGATTACTAGTAAACATACTTCAAGATAAGTAAGAGGTGCTTGTATAGTTTGACTTAAACTACCGACATTTTTATTTCAGAATTTTGTTATCATAAAGCTGTGATATTCTGAAGAAATCCTTCTTTATTAGTTTTATTGGTGCAATTTGCATATTAGATTCTTCCCCCCTTCTATTGAAACTTAGATTGCAGCTTTTTATATCAAGCAAAGGTTGCTTATAAAGAGTGTGCATAGAACATATTCTGATTTGAATTTTTAGTGATCTCTGAATCAAGGTATCTTGAGTAAATTATATTCTTTATAAAGTAATGCTATTTTTCGTTCATGATTTGAGCTAATCTGTAAAGGGTAGTGTTCCAGTTGTGTTATTGGCTTGCATATAAGATATCTTGAAGTTTTAAAAGAATTTTATTTATTTATTTTTTTAAAAAAAGCTCGCGTGTAAGAGGACTTTATATGTAGAAGCTTAAAATGTTAAAGGTATCTTATAAAAAATGAAATTAAATATTCTGAATCACACCTTGTTGCAAAACTGAGGAGATGTATAATATTTTAATGTAAAAGTTGAGTAATATGTTATGAAAACACCTTCATATTTTCATTTAAATTTTAGGCCTCTTGTATAAGAGGTTTTTTAAAAGGACATTTTCAGAAATAGTTTTTGGGTAGTTATGGTATGTCTCTCGTTAACCAGAAATCTCAAGTATATTTTTAGGCAATATGATATGTGTCTCAGGATTTTGTTTTTGAGCTAGAAATCTCAAGTAGGCCTCTTGCATGTTAAATTGATTACCTTAGTTTATACTTGCATAGAGTTGTTTATAGATATCACTTAACATATTTATTTTGAAATTTTGGAAGGTTCAGCCTTAGAGAGATGCCTATTTTAGTTTAATTGGAGAATTTTTTGTATTTTAAGAAAGCTGATAAGGATTTTTCTACTTTAAATAAAAGTATCTTATTTAATGATATAATAAAATATCTTATTTAATGGTATCTGTGGTATAATTTCATTAATTGCAAAATATGTGATATAAAACAATGTGCAATTATTATTTTCCATATAACTTTAAATGTAAATAATAATGTAACTTTTAGTAAAGATTAATAATGTAATAAATAGAACTTCTAACAAAATTTTGAACAAGGATATTTTTTGCTATGTTAGCGATATAATAATTTATAATGATGTTGGTACCCCAACCATTTCCTATTAGATGAAATATTTCTTCATATGCTTTTTTCTAATTTCTGTTATTAATGATTTCTTTTAGACTGGGTTATCATTTCCATAATCTACATCTTTTTTCACAAAAAATATAGAAATATATATATATATAATATATATATATATATATTTAAGTGGATTTTCTATGATAGTTTTCGTTATTTATTACCTTATTTATAGTTCTAACTATTCTGAATAAAAAATGAAATATTTTGAAATGTATAATCATTGTCAGCGATATTTCAATTCTTGTCCATTCTTTTAATTTTAAGCATGACTGAAAACATTTTCATCAATTTTTTTTTCCTTTTAAATCTTGCACATAGCAGTCGCACATAGTAAGCTGGAAATAAATAAAAATCTGTGCTGAGTTAAAATTTCTAAAAATTACTTGTTCTAGAATTTTATTTTCATTCTGGGTATTATTTTGAAAATAGAAATGATTGACTAATTTTAGCTTATTTCACTTGGATAAAATCCAAGTCCATCTTTTCCATTTTGCCGTCGCAAACGATAAAGTCCCCAATTACGGTACAACTGATCCAAATGGAATATCTTCGCTGGTAACCTTTTACGCTTTATTTTCAAAACAAGTGGCAGCTTTTTCTTATCAGATTGATTGTTTCTTTCAATACTGGCATACAATTACATAGAATTTTTACCAGATAGTTAAATTTTATACCCTAAGACCATTTGCGGTAATTAAGTCAATTAGGATGCAATCATGTAGCTCACCTGAAGGCGAAAATGTAGGAAAGGCAAAATTAAGGGTTAAATTCATCAATTCTAATGAGAATGCATTAGCGAAGTAAAGCACTGCATTTTTACATAATTTCTAAATAAGCTATTCGTACGAATTGAAATAATTCTTGTATTTATACTTGTATTCCAAATTAAGATTTAACTTGAAATTAATGTAGACAATTACTGAGAGAATTATATTTTTGTAGCGTTTATGTCAGATGAGATCACTTTGGGTCACGTGACACGAACCGTCAAATCAGGATGTTGAACCATGAAAGCATAGTAAATTCTTTATTTAATTTCTTTTTACAAATGTATTGTCTTTATTTATTGGCTTTTTACAAAATTTTAAATCATATTAATATGTTTATGTCTTCAAAATAAAAAATTCTTAGAACTAAAATTTTTTATATGTATACTGTATGCTGACGGCAACAAAGTCTGCTTAGCAAGATTTGTGCCGGCGAAACGGAAAAATACTCCCACACCTTTGGCGACAAACTGAGAAAGTGCAGAATCACCCACTGCTTCGCACATTTCTCAAAAATTACCAACTTGAAAATAACAAGTCAAAAAAATTGCACAAACTCGGTAGCCATGTACACATCAACCTATTTTCACTTAAAAAAAAAAAAAAAAATCCCAGAATTGCACAAACTTGGCATTGCACACTCCCTTGACTTTGTTCATGTACACATCGATATGTGCCATATCAGTGGGCACACCAAGGGTGTGGGCTGTGCTACGATCCAACCTTTCACTTGCATTATTATTTTGAACTGATGAGACGAAAGCTCTCTGGAGTGGTTTGGTGATAGTAAATAGATTTGTCCTCTTGGAGCACTATTTGTTAAAATTTTGGGTGAAGCTGTGCACTTATGTGGTAGTACACTATAGGTTCTTCTACTGTTAATGGTGAAATTCTGGTGCACCTTAGATTTTACTTCCTATCCTGCTTAGTCAAATTAGAATCTCTTGTTCTGTTTTGCCTTCAAACATTGGAAGAATTAATAATGAAAATGATTCTAATCAATTATTCAATGAAACATCTCATGACAGCACAAACAGTTTATTTTACAATTCTAATAAGTAACAACTCTACCTTCAACATCTCAGACAACACTCAAAATATAAATGGCATAAGATAATATTCATTATTTCTCAAATACACATGAAATGCAACTCAAAGCCATTTTTCTCATTTTCTAATAAAAAGAACAAGCTCAAAACCTAAATATAAAAAACCTCCACCGTTGCCATTCATAATTTTCTAAATTTCATCAAAGATAATATTAGATGTTCAACTTGACATCCCTCATGTTTCAGTAGAGGGTAAATCATGAGGATTAATAAATATATTGATTAAAGGTGAAATAAATAATTTGTTCTGATAATTCCAAAACTTTAGAAGTTATTCAAGATTTATCATTTTTGAGCACCATGAGCAATTTAAATTCTTGTAAAATTCTTATAAAGCACTAATTTTATCAAAAAAAAAAAAAAAATTCTGTATTCATATAAGTTCTTAATAAAGCATAGGCATTGTGGTTCTGTAATTCCATTATACTCCTCTCAGTCATCTGTGACTAACATTTATAATGAGATGAAAAGTGCAATAATTTGTTGGCATGCTGCCTGCAGGAAAATTGTCGCCTAATCCAGTAGTCTCAAACTCTGATTCTATTATGCACAAAAAACAGCTGACAGGCCACACACTTTTTACCTTTTTCTTTTTTTTTTACAAAATGAGAGTGAATTTATATACATATATATGTGTGTGCATATATAAGTATTCTGGTTTCCAAAAATTAAGGAAAAAAATCGCAATATTGCATTTAAAAATAAGCCACTCCATATCAAATTTCAGTATGTTGTTCAGTAAGAGTTTCCGAATAAAACTGCAGTATGCAAATTAATGGCACTGTAATTGAAATGCGCCATCTGCAACAAGCATAAAATTTCATGTTTGAAAGGAAGCCTTCAAATTTTGCCCTGATACTGAGATATGAAATGTGGGATAGCCAGTTTGTAATAATGACCTCCAGGCATCATTTGGCTGAAGAACTGCTGTGGAGAGCTATTGGTAGACTAGAGATAGGGCAAAGTCGGACAGAAATGGCTAGATGACTAAATGTCAGCCCTTCTTAGTTCATAGACTTTGGCAACAATTTCTGACCACAGATTTGGCATCAAGGATGTTCAGCCAAACTTAACAATGATCGCTAATGACCGATATTTGTTATGGGCACAAAAAACAGAACCACAACTCCAACTCATCTCGGATCCTCCCTTCCTGCAGCCACTAGAAGGTTAGTGTCAATGTCAACCATGCATAGAAAGCTTCACAAAGGACCTCTGCATGTGAGGCAGCCAGTCATGTGTGTGCTGTTGATGTCACGTCATAGAAGGGAACATTTGAGATGGGCATATCAGTTTGTCCACTGAATGGCTGATCAGTGGAGGTCTGTTCTCTTTGTGCATGAGTTTAGGTTTAGCATCCAAGGCAATAGTAGGCATTATTTGATTTGGATAGAACCCGGGACCCATGTATTATCCATCAGACTTCCATGAAAGAGATACATACAGAGGAACCAGTATGTGTGTTTGGGGTGGTATCTCTTTGAGTGGATGTACAGACCTCCATGTCTTTCCACATGGGACCATGAATACTTAGGCCTATAGAGATGACATCCTTGATGCTTATGTATACCCTTATGCTGGGGCAATAGGTGATGATTTCCTGCTACATGATGACAATGCTAGACTGCACAGGGTCCTCATCATCGGTGATTATCGTCAGCAGCAAACAATTCAGTGCAAAGAGTAGGTAGCTTAATCACCGGACCTAAAACCTATCGAGCATGTCTGGGATGTTTAGGAAGACATATAAAGCTGCTCTCAATCCTTCTCTTTAGACCCTTGCCACCCTTGCAACTGCATTGCAAGAGCAGTGGCTCTCACTTCCTAAGGAACTGATAGACCACATAATTGACAGCATCGCACATGCTGTATGTATTGTAGGAGAGATCTAACTCCATATAAGGTAATTTTCGTATACCAAACTGACACATCCGATTTGCTCATTTTATTCATATACTATTAATTGCTATAACATCATAATTGTCTGGTAATTTCTTTCCATGTTATTTGATACCGTACTATGTTTTGTGTACTGTGGTTCAGTTTCATTAAATTCTATAACTTTTCTATTTTATTTTCTTTTATATCTGTAACTTTTTTAGTAATAATCATTTTTGTGAATTTTCCTTAGTTAATGATAACCAGCATATGTGTATGTATTATGCCATTATATGCATGGATATCGTTCCTTTACAATATGATGTTAGCATTTGACGTGTGTGTGTAGATTGCTGAATGTATTTGGAAATTGTCCGTTATTTAATTTATGGCAAACAAGGTTTAATAGAAAATTTCTTTTAATAATATTTAACTGTGGTTTCTGCAATGTTTTTCTGTAGGCTTTGTCTTTTATTTTTCAAACTTATTAAATTTTCCTTCTCTTCCTGATTTCTTTTGGTTTAATTTTGATCTTTTCATTAGGTTCTAATACCTTACATATTTATCAAAACATAATAAGCAATAATAATAATGCAAAGGGAAAAAATTCAAATTTATATTTATTTTTTTTCTGAAATTTAAATTTTAGTACATGCAAGAAATCTTTCTGGGTTACACTGTACAATTCAAGCATATTGACAGTTAAATGTTAAATTTTCAAACTGACATTTATTTCAGGTACTATGTTTCTAATGTATTGAATTAACTACTAAATAATTTTGGTACTACAGTCAAAAGTCGTCAATCCCGACTCGTCGGGACTTCGGCGATTCCGGATTATCGATTTTTCCGGATTATAGATCATCAGTTTAAATCTGGTAAGATGACATGCAGAAATTACAAAATTAAAAATATAAAACCATAATTTATGAAATAAAGAACAATTATGATCTAAAGGGTATCAAAATTTACAAAAAAAAAGCTTAATATTTATTTGTTTACTTTATTAAACATGTCTTTCAATGTAAATTGTTTAAGTTGCTTCCTTTCATGTGATAATACTTTCTCTTTAATTCTATTCAATAGACATAATTTCTTGTTTAGTTACAAAGTTCCGCTGTTCAAGTCCTATAATTGCTTAAATCATATCAAAGAAGGAGTACATCAACATGAAATACTACATTTAGTAAGGAATTATAAGCCAAATAAAATAAAAACATCTGCCCTGAAGATAAGGATAGTGCTGACAGATCAACTTCCAATTCATTACGCGTCACGGCGTTTCCCCCTCCCCCCGCCGCAGAGCAGCGTGAAATTGATAAACAGATTTCGGATTTCGAAACATACTTTCACTTTGTAAATCCTTTACATATTAGTAAATATATATCGGTAATTCTATTTGACATAATCGAAAGTTCAAGCTTACTTTTATAAAATTGCTCTAACAATCTGCAAAAAATAATAAGCCGAATCCAATTCGAAGATTAAGGAACAACGCAATCTGCAACATTAACTGAATTAGATAATTTTAGCTTACCTTTTACCGTCCGTTATACATTAAATGCACATGCGCACACATATATTTGCAGCCATAAAGGTCTTACGTGCACGCGTAAACGCCTCTGCGCGTGCGTCAAAGCGACGCATGCGCAGAAAGTTTGTAGCTTTGAGGTCCGGATTATGGGTGTCCGAATTAACGACTTTTGACTGTATTCCGTTTTGAGGACTTTAAAAAAATTGTAGCGAAAATGTATGCGCAAAAGAGCCAAATTTAGCAAATGCGCTCATTTAACAGCGTGCCAAATTTAGCGTACATTTCAGATTGCCGATTTCAGATTGCGTAAGTTTATATAGTTTTATATTTCTTAAGACGCCATTGAAATACTAGGTTAATTTTTAAATTCTTTTTTGATTTTAAATCCTTTTTTGTTATCCTATGGATTTAACAATTTGGGAATTTCCCATGATGAAAAGTATGCAATAAAATTTTGGGTAAATTGCAGAATCACCCACTGCTTGATGCGTTTTTAAGAATTGCACATAATTGGTATCCTTGTACACATCGACCTATTTTCATATGTTTAGCAATTTTTATATAAATTATAATAATGATCTGAAATAGTTATTTACTCTTATGCTTCCATTCAGTCATGTTTAGCCTTTTTTATATAAATTATAATAAAAAAAGTATTATATGAAATTAACCTTTCATCTAAGTTAAAACATCAATCTTAGATAGTTATTTACTATTATACTTCCTTTCTT